TATGTTATTTTTTCACGTTTTTCCATGCCATCAGCTTGGATCTTCTGCTCAACCTCAGCCAGATTTGTGGAGAGATCTCAATTGTCCTAACATATTTTCCCACCAGCATCATTTCTGCCTGTGCTGTTTGATGTCCATGGGGCAGTAGCTGTAGGGCCAGGGTGAGGATCAGTAAGACCAGCTCACAGCCTGCTGGGCAGCAGCCAGGATCTACCAATTCCACCTGCATGGAGAAAATACAAGATACTGGCTAGGTGTAACACCCAGGCAGTGCCATTGGTGTTGTGTGTTATGTGCCTGAGGCTGTTAACACCAGGATCAACTCCTGGGCATCATTTTGTGCTGCACACAGGAGGAAGATTAGCAAGAAATCTTTTCCAAATTGGTAACTACCAAGAGAGATCCAGGATCGATACAAATTGATCCTGATTCCATCTCAGTGACTGATATTTAAGCTAAACCTTCCAGTTTAATCGTTGTGTAGATTTTCAACTGGGTCTGAAAGCCTTTTTAAAAGACATATGACAGAAGCTGGTGGTGAATGCAAAGCAGAGCGAGTGTAGACATGTGAGCATCGTGTAACTGCTTTTTTATCCCTGACATTGCTTACAAACCTCCTCTAAATTTCACAAATGTGGTTGTGCTGAAAGGAAGGAGCAGAGCTGGCAGTGCTGCTGCGCCGGGCGTTACGGGGGATGTAACCTGCTGCTGAGCTTGGCACAGAGACTGAAACCTTGGCAAGGTACTATGGTAACATTTCCATACACATGTTTATGGGTTCTTTGAGGGCTTTTTGGTTAAATGTCAATGTTTTCATCATATTATTCAAGGAGATTTCAGTGCTCCAAAATCCCACTATGCCTTTGAAAAGTGCTTTCAGTTTGTGAGTTGCTCAGGGGAAGATGTGTCTGTCTTGACTGCTCGGTGATGGAGAGAAAAGCTCACTGCTTAGCTGCCTGCCTGGGGGCTTGTTGTGCAGCTCTGAAAAGCAGGGCAAGTGCTGGGGCATCGTCCCCATTCCCATCCAGAGGAAGTGAGTGCCCATTGCTTCAAGTTTAACATGATGAAGACACAGAAAGCTGTCACACCCTGCACTCCAGGTGCACACATCAGCGTCTGCTGCTGCCCGAGCACTGGGTGTGGGATGGATCCCATCAGCACCAGTGTGAGTTTACTCAGGGTCTCCGCTGACACTGGAAGGAGCAGCCACAGGCAAGCTTAAGGTTACCGTGTTTCTAATATGGACATTTTGGCTAAATTCAAAATGAGACTGGACTGATCTGACTGTGCTAGGACAGACCTCTTGTTTCCAGACAGGCATTGGGCACCTACATATTTCTATTAACCTTTTTATGTGTTTCAACACAGGGTGATTTGCAAAACACGGTGCTTTTCCTTGTGAGCTCCTACGTCCCACACCCTTCATTACCCCTTCTGGCCGTTTTTTGCCTCTGTGCAGGCTTGGTGTTGCCAGCAGGTTCCTGTCTACAGGATGCTGAGTGCTCCTGAAGTGCAGCTGCGCATCCCTGTTTGAACATCACAGTATCACAGTATCACAGTATGCTGGAGATTGGAAGGGACCTCAAAAGATCATCTAGTCCAATCCCCCTGCCAGAGCAGGAACACCTAGATAACGTTACACAGGAATGTGTCCAGGCGGGCTTTGAATGTCTCCAGGGAAGGAGACTCCACAACCTCCCTGGGCAGCCTGTTCCAGTGTTCCGTCACCCTCACTGAGAAGAAGTTCCTTCTCAAGTTTAAGTGGAACCTCTTGTGTTCCAGTTTGCACCCATTACCCCTTGTCCTATCATTGTTTGCCACTGAGTAGAGCCTGGCTCCATCCTCGTGACACTCCCCCTTTATATATTTATAGACACTTATAAGGTCACCCCTCAGTCTCCTCTTCTCTAAACTATAAAGACCCAGCTCCCTCAGTCTTTCCTCATAAGGGAGATGCTCCACTCCCTTAATCATCTTGGTTGCCCTGCGCTGGACTCTCTCCAGCAGCTCCCTGTCCTTCTTGAACTGAGGGGCCCAGAACTGGACACAATATTCCAGATGGGGTCTCACCAGGGCAGAGTAGAGGGGAAGGAGGACCTCTCTCGACCTACTAACCACCCCCCTTCTAATACACCCCAGGATGCCATTGGCCTTCTTAGCCACAAGGGCACAGTGTTGGCTCATGGTCATCCTGTCGTCCACTAGGACCCCCAGGTCCCTCTCCCCTACACTGCTCTCTAGCAGGTCGTTCCCCAACCTATACTGGAACCTGGGGTTGTTCCTGCCCAGATGCAGGACTCTACACTTTCCCTTGTTATATTTCATCCCGTTATTCCCTGCCCAACTCTCCAGCCTGTCCAGGTCTCGCTGGATGGCAGCACAGCCTTCTGGCGTGTCAGCCACTCCTCCCAGCTTAGTGTCATCAGCAAACTTGCTGATAGTACACTCAATTCCCTCATCTAAATCATTGATGAATATATTAAATAATACTGGTCCCAGTACTGACCCTTGAGGCACTCCACTAGTTACAGGCCTCCAACTAGACTCAGCCCCATAGACTACAACTCTCTGGCTTCTCTCCTTCAGCCAGTTCGCAGTCCACCTCACTACCTGGTCATCCAGTCCACACTTCCTCAATTTAGCCGTGAGGATGCTGTGAGAGCATCTGGTGCTGGAGCTGCTACTGGTCCATTTTTGAGCATCTCTTGTTAAAACTGGAGGCAGGCTGAGAGCTGCTGAATTACTGAATCTCTGCAGGGTTTCTGTTCAACAATATTGCAATTAAAAAAAAAAATACTCTTAGGTGGTAGAATTTAGGATTTCTCACAGTCAGATATCATGGGTCATCACCCCTAGTACTAAAACCTATCACAGGCTCCCAAGTGGGAATGGATTTCAAACACTTTAGCCCTCAGGGAGATGCATTGTCATTTTTTTAAGACGGCTATAGAAGCAAAGGCAGGGAAACTGGCTTCTGAAATGGTTTAGTGCACCTGAATCCATGGCTTGCAGCTACTCCAACGGTGGGCGAGCTCCCTTCACCCAGGGCTGTCCCCAGCCTCATGGGCTCATCTCGCACTGCATTTGCAGTAGAAGCTCAGCCTGCCCGGGCTGCTGCAGGTGTTAGATTTAAATCTTTTTGTTCAATAGGGTTAATCAGCGTAATTGCTTTTACACTGGGCGTGTGATTATTGGGTGAAAACATGGATCGATTGTTGCCTGAATACTCTGTGGTGGGACTGGAAGCTAATGAAGATGGTGCAAAGGGCTGGAAGTGTCTCTCCAGCCGCCTGTTTGTTTGGAATTGTTGTGGTACCAAAGATGACATTGCCTATGGGTCTCCCTATGGGTAGGTAAAGTTCCTGTCTTGGTGTAGAGCACTGTCAGAGTGAGCAATGTATCAGAATGAAATACATTAATCTGCAAGTGCTGGGAAATTACAGCTAGGCTTAATGAAAAAGAAAACCTTGTTTACGATTTCTAATGTGCTGCTGAAGAAACTGGCTCCCAAATAAAAATACTTAAAATTGCGATTAGGATTTATTTACATAATTACTGCAAGATAAATTCTGGGTGCGTGCTAAGCAGCGCAAGAGAAACCTCGTGGCTTTTCTTCTTTGCTTTCCTGTGTCTTGAGCTTAGTTTGCTCTTGGTGAGTCTATTAAAGCTTCTACTAACTCAGTGAGGCAAGAAGGCATTTGTTACAAAATTAATGCATATATATGTGTGTATATATTTTTTTCTATTGACTGTGGTAAGAACATATGGCTGAGTAAAAGCCAGATCATCCTTGTAATTGTAGTGTTGGCTGGAGAATGATTCAGTAGGTGGCACTTATCTCTTTATGGCAAAGCAAGTGTGCCTGTAGTGAGAACGTCCTTGGAGTTTGTTACCAAGGGGCTTTGTCCCCCACTGGTATGAGTGAGATCTGCCAAAGTTGCCATAGAAATTTATCTTAATGGTCTGCTCCCAGTGGTACAGCCCAGCATGTCCTGGCCACCTTCCAGCCCCTGCAGAAACCCTGGGCCAGATCTTTGGATGGTGCCTGGGTGGCTCTGTTGACTCTGCTGATTTATATCTGCTGGAAATGTACAGCAGAAATTGCAATAGGCCCATGATGGGGCTGCGCTGATTGAAACCAGCCAGGGGGATGACAAATCTTCCTCTTAATATTTCAATTGACTTTGGCAAACTTGCCTCTTTCTTGTGTATCCTAAATCAATGTGTAAGTGCTGCTGACAGTAATTTCCACTTTTGTCTGTGCAGATGGTTGCCCTTCACCAGGCTGCGGTGTTTATACCTGCTAAGTTTGCAAACACTTTTCTGCTACAGCCTCCCATTGAGCAGTATTTTTCTTTAGCTGTCATATTTGTGAGATGAAAATGTTCTTTCTTGGGCCCAGCTTGAATGTGAATTTTCTTCTTTCAGCAAGGGCCACTGAAATCTGTAGCGGAAGTGCAACCTGCAGCTCGATCAGCAGGATGCTCTGGGTGGGGGATTTGAACTGTCTTAGGGGTCTAGGTGCCCTAGAGCAGTGTCTGGGAGCTGGTGTCCAGACTCTTTCAAAGTCCTGCTGCTAGATCCTGTGACTTTTTAGTTGCATGTCAATGTAGACCCCTATGCGCTCTATAATTATTAGCAACTAGTAAATCTTTAGGCTGAAAGCTGCAGTATGAGTGTTGGAGTCTCATAGGCCTAAGGCACTGCTGTTCTATCTCGGCTAATTCTTGTTTGGTATAAAGAAGAAGCTGCTGCTTTTCTGTTTGTTTGTTTAGCCCCTGTCTTTGAGGCACTAAATAAAATCTGCAATCCATCAATTGTGCACCCAACTTCAGTGTGCGTTCCCTGGTGTAGGATGCTTTGGTCCAGCTATTCTTTCAAGGCAGGCTATTGTACTATTCAAATAAAATAAAGATAAATAATTAAATATAATAAATAATAATAAAAATCATTAAATATAATAAATAATTAAAATAAGCCTTTCTCTTGTGCACAGGGAGAAGATGCCATTCCACCATGTAACAGCTGGCTTGTTGTACAAAGGCAACTACCTGAACCGCTCACTCTCTGCTGGCAGTGACAGTGAACAGCTAGCAAATATCTCCGTGGAGGAACTAGATGGTGAGCCTTGTGCTTTTCCAAAGGGAGCTGGGAATGGGGAAAGGCTCGTTTTCACCTTCTCTGTAGTGTCATCATGCAATAAGCAGAGGTATTCTCCCTGTGAAGCAAGGAGCAAAAGGCAGGTCAGAAGTGAGATGGCTCAGCAGATCAGGGACAAAGAAAAGGTTCTAATCATGGTTATGTTGAAATCTGTGGACCGATTGTAGCCTCAGATTCTGTCCTTCTGCCTCGGAATAAGGCAGTTTTTTGAGAGAATAAGGCTGCTTTTTATGGGCAAAACTCTGTCAGAGTCAGGCTAATATCTTTTTTTATAAAGGTGTCTCTCTTTAGCCTTTCCTGGGAACCTGCAGAGCTGAATGTGTCTTCCTGTCAGGTCTTCTCATCTGCTTTGTGGCCTTTCAAAAGTAAGGTTTCTCTCTGTGCTTCAATATAACAAGATGCACAGAGGTGGCTTCTGGCTTAAGAAGCTGGAAAGAGCTTTCAAACTTCCTTTTCAAGGTCAGTGGCTGGGAGCACAGACCTCAGGCTGGCAGAGGCTATCAGGAAGGTTGTCCACATCTGCTGTCTGTGTGATCTCGTCTTTTCCTCCCTGGAAGCTAGCTGCTGCTAATCCCTTCTGCCCAGCAGACAGGATGTGAGGCCAGGTAGACTTCCAGTCTGGTTTGTGGAGGGAAGGTCTCTTTCATAGGCAATTTGTGGCTCACTAGGGGCACTTCTAAGCTAAAGTTAATACTGTTGACAGCTGGTCTTTGAGAGCTATGGAACAAATCGAAGCTCTTGGTTTGCTTCCCAGTGGGCATTTGGTACAAGCCATGATCATAATCATATCTATTGAGAATTGGAGGAGGAAATGAGCAAGGGAATGGTGCAAGGTGGAAATAAACCTTCCAGGACATGTTGGAGGCGTTTTGGCAAAACAGAAGGACAACATTTCTGCTCACCCTCCCTCTTTTCACCTGTGCTTTGATAAAGCAGACCTTAGTTTTCAAGCCTGGTCAGCTCAGAGCTTTGGGATTTGTTTTTGTGTTACATTAACTTACCTTTAGTACAAACAGTGTTTTCTGAGTATTTGTAACTGCTTTTCTTCTTCCCAATGAGTATAAGCTGAGATGCAGTTCAGGTGAGAGATGAAATGTGAGAAACCACTTTCAGTGCAGCTTTGTTAAGACCCCAGGAACACAAGAACAGCAGAGGCATCTTCTGCGCTCTTCTACTGGGTTACAAGTGCTTTGCTTGAAGTTCTATGTTTTTGAGCAGAGCTGAACTGGGTTAGCTTCTGTGCATCCTATAGGCGACAAACTACATTACAAGGTGAAGATTAGTTGCTGTTCCTATTCAGGATGACAGGGGTTGGCTCCGCAGACAGGAGAATGTTGGATGAAGTCTTGCAGTTTACTTCAAATGAGAACAAGGGTTTTTCTGCTGTGCCTACCCTGATTTGAGTATGTCTGCTGCAATTGCCTTTGAGATTTGCAGGCAACTGTCAAGGGCCGATTCAAGTGGCATCGGGGCTGCAACCCTCTGTCAGGGCCATCCCAGAACATGAGGGAAACTTGTCCTTGATTTGTGCCCCTGCTGTTTGCATGGAAATGGTCTGTGGCTGGACACGGGAAAGAAGCTCAGTCTCATTTCCATCCTTCCCACGTCTCCCTGTTGCCAGCCACATAGGGCAGTCTGCAAGCTTCACAAGCCCTCTTGGAATCGCTTTCCCACTGGCACCTCCAGGGTGGGAGCTGTCGGAGAGAGCAGAGCACAGCCCCATGGCCAGACCTGCCTTCCCCAAGGAGAAACCAGTACTCGAGAGGCTGTGCATCATTTCCTTCAATTAATAGCAAATGAAATGAATGTGGTGTAGAGGAGTTGCCTTTTGAGAAGGCAGCAGCCGAGTCACTGTTAATGTGAGTGCTGCATCCATTTAATGTGGTCGGTGCCCCATTATAACTGTGCGATTGAACTGGAGAGCAGCAGAGTTCATTCATCTCTGTTCACAGAATATCCCCCTCGTTCTTCAGGAGCATGGTTAGAGCTCTTTAACTAATCATCCATTTATTCTCTGGCTGTTAAGCACAGGCTTCTTGTTAGAATTTAGTCTTTTTTTTTTTCCCTGACAGCCTTTTGCTTCACAAAAACCTATTTTTGAGAGCTTTATGTCTTTGCCATGAAGATATGCCCCAGTTCTAAGCCTAGCAGAGAAAAGCTCAACCTCAGACCATTTTTTTTTCACCTGTAAACACACAAGTGGTACCAAATTGATTTGTGTCTGCTAAAGCCAGAGCAGCAGAAGAAGCTGGAGATGTTTTTCTCTTTGCCAGCTACCAAAGTACAGCCTAGCCACTGGAAATTGTATGTAATATTAGATCAGTAGTCGCTATTTACTGTGTTTCGTAGATAATACATGATCACTGCCTAGGTGTGCTGGTAATCGGTGACAGTACAACTGTTACCTGCCCAAACCCAAACCAGAAATGGTCTTTATGCCTTTAAGCATAAAACAGTTCAGAATGAGTAACAAAATGTTCTTTCTTGAGAAGTTAATGTCAGTGTATGGGAGCTTTGTGGCTATATCAAGCTGTAATAGCTCAATGCCAATAACGTACTTGCATTTAATCTTACAGGCTGGGAGAGAGATGCCAAATTCTCCTTGGTTTCTTTTTTGATGAGATTTTTGTCCCAGGGGAGTTCCAGCCTATTGAGAAATTCCAGTCACACACATTAAATTAGTGAAGATTTGAAGCTGGAGAAGTCAGTGGGAATTTTCTCTAATGCTCCTCTGCATTCAAGGCCCCAACAAGTGCCTGCTTTGGGGAAAGCAGTGCAGGTTTTCAGATGCACATGCACCATTGAGAGCTCAGGTTGCTGCTCTGCCTCTTCTCCAACCGGTTATTTTTCCCTCCTGTAAAAACTTTTCTGACTTGCATCAGCCATCTGTCGACTTTAACACCGCTTTAAATACTATGCTGGCAGCAAGGAAAGAGGCTGGAGAGATAGCAGGTCACTCTGCTGATGGCTTGTCTGTTCCTAGCAGTGGTGTTTGCTATTTGCAGTTCTGTAGTAGCGTGAGGCTTTTTAGAAGCTGTCACTGTCACAGAGGGAATTAACTTGCAGAAAGCTATATTAGGTGATACTTAGCTTTGTAACATCAAGTAAATGACGGAGTTGAAAGTGGCAGGCCATCCATAACCTGTCTCTTGGGGACCGTAAACTACAGCAAGGTCTCAGATGGATGTTATTGCCATATGCTTAGTGGTTTCTATGCATGGGATTATAAATTAAGGCTGGGAGGAACTGTTTTACATATAGATTTTCTAGCTATTGTTGGTTGGCATAAAATTGTGGCACAGTTTGTGCATACTCTGTGGTTTCCACATCCCTTTTAAAACCAGCTTCTGTCTTCACATTATGAACAGCTAAGAGTATTTTTAATAAAAAATGGTGGATGGAAATAATCATGTCAAGCTTGAGTCATCCACCTCCATAGGCTCTATCTAAAGGGTATTGTCAGGAGGTAAAAACATTTCCATAGTAGGAATCTGACAAATATCACCTGAAGGGAGGCACATGCATTTTAAGCAGGCTTTTCAGAAAGTGCCTGTGAAATGTGTGCTAGTCAGTGCCTTGCAGAAAAAACCCAAATGTGAACCACAGCAGCAGCTATTTGTCCAGAAAGACATCCTGATACATCCTTACCTGACCCAGATTCCTTTGAAATCAGCAGTGCCCATGCAGGAGGAAACGTTGCTGCATGGCAGCAGGACAGCTATTGGCATCTGGTGCCTTAGACCACGTAGCCCCTGCCCTAGGTGGGGTCTGTGGTATCTACAAGACTTATTTTTTAGGCTGGGAGCTGGGTTTTTTTTGTGGTTGCAGACATCAACTTAGCCTGTTCGGTGCAGTCCTTAAGGTTGAGGTACAGAGTGGAAATGTCATCGTTTTGCCTGCCTAAACTGGAGATGTCAGCAGAGGAACATATGAAATGGGGGCAAAACTGCTGCCTGTGGGAGCTTGGGGTGCAGTGGACTTCAATGCAGGAATCTGTGGACTTCCCTCCCCAGGGGACTTTTCTCCTGTTATAGATTATACACCACATTGCAGGATGTGTTCCTCCTTCCTGCTTATTCCCAGCAACCACCCCCTCTGTCACCTGCAGAAGCCCTTAACTGGGTCACTCTTCCCTGGGCTCCTGTGTAAAAGTCAACCATGAGCAGCTTCAGCGTATACTGGGAAACAGCTCCTGAAGTAATTCAAAGAGCACGGTTAAATGATGCCCATATGGATTTTAAACTAATAGTTGTCTCTGGCACACCAATAATGCAGGCAATGCCAAGTGGCTTAAGGTGTGTTGGGGCTGCAGGCAGTTCTGGAGTCCCAGCAACACGGTGAGGTGGTCAGTCATAGGGCTGATGACATGCTGGGTCCCTGCTGCAGGGGACATCAGGTAAGATAGCCCCACATCACAAACACAGCTATGCCATCCTGGCCCTGCCTCTGAAAATAATGCCCAAATCAGGGGTGTTTACCCTCTTGTGCATGTCTGATATGATGACCCTTGGATGTTGTAAGTCCTGGGAAGGCAGGGACCATGATGCTGTCACCATGCAGTCTCATTTGGGACTTGTTATTCAGCAGAAACCCTGTTAGCCACAAGGATTGTGTCTGATCCAGTGTTATCAGAGTCCCTTGCTCGCAGGAGAGTCAGGGCTGCTGTGCAGCTCCTCGTATCTCTCTCCAAGTGTTGATTTTTCTCCAGGTCCGCTTGTTTGCTAGCAGAGATTTTGCTCCTGCTGTTGGGCTCAGGTGGCAGAGGGGCAGGCAGATTCCCTCCAGCTTCACCAGCCAGCTGCTTGAGCCTTGTCGGCAGCTCAGGCTGATTATCTTTGGTGTCTCAGGTGAGATCAAATGGTGTTTTGGAGAAGTAATGTGCTCCAGAAGGGAAACCCAGGGGGGAGAGTCATTAGTCACTTGACTGACTCATGTAACAGCAACAGGCTGAGTCTGCTCTG